GACACTATTTGTAAGGAGGACTCCTACGATGCAGGTCAGACCCCTGAGCTCATTCAGATCCACAGATTATTCTACCTGTATTATAGAACTTCAAAAAGTCTTACGTAGCTTAGCCAGTGTATTTCAGAGAAGAGAAAGAGCCAGGGTTTAAACTCAGGGCTGTGTTGTGAACCTCTGTACCAACAGCTTCTTTGAGATGTGTTATTCCATTATGTCCAAGATGGTGGGTAACAAGGGTTCCAGTCCTCACCCCTGCCAGGTTCCTTTCTCTTGCACCTATAAAGTTCTCAGTCTCCTTTCCCACTTCCTTCAAGTCTGCCTGCTGGAGCAAGGTCCATATAGAACTGTGGGGTCCCCTTCATTGCACACTACCCCTAAAATGCTTCATGAGGTAAACATAATTTATTATGGGGACTCATTTTGGTGGAGGAAAACTGTTCATAGCCCATATTTCCATCACCCCAAACCCTGATCCTCGGAAAACTTCATGGTGGAGAGTTTGTCTAAGAAAGTAATTTGGCTACAGGGTTGTTTAGCCTAGCAGTAGGGATCCGGTCCTGCTGCTGGCTTTGGCACTGACTACTGTGAAGTCCCTCTTCCCAGTCTTGCTTTTTCTGTCTGCATTAATCAAGAATGAATGTTTTAGACAGAAGCCCTAAAACACATAAAGAATTAAAAAAAAATCAAACCTCTGAAATTCAAAGACCCAATCCAAAAATAGGCATCTGAGATGAATACACACTTCTTAGATGAAGAAATACAAATGGTAAATAAATACATGAAAAAGTGTTCATCATCATTAGTCATTAGAGAAATGCAAATTAAAACCACACTGAGATTTCATCTCATTCCAAAAAGAATAGCCAGGATCAAGAAACTATCAACAGCAAATGCTGGAGAGGCTATGGGGAAAAAGGAACTCTCCTGCACTGCTGGTGGGAATGTAGACTGGTGCAACCACTACGGAGGTCAGTCTAGAAATTTCTCAAAAGGCTAGGATTGGAAGCCCCATTTGATCCAGCTATTCTGCTTCTAGGCATATTCCCAGAAGAACTGAAAACATCATACACAGTGATATATGTGCACCCATGTTTATAGCAGCACAATTTGTAATAGCCAGATCTTGGAAACAACCTAAGTGTCCAACAACTGAGGAAGGAATAAAAAAGTTGTGGTACTTTTTATACAATGGAGTACTACTCAGCTATAAAGAAAGATCACATTGAGATATTTATAAATAAATGGATGCAACTTGCGACCATACTCATAACGAAATAAATCAAACTCACATGTGTAAATATTGTATAGTCTCCCAGTAAGTAAGAAATGGTAAGAGTACACAAGAGTTTGTGGTAATCATGATCCCCCATTACATTGCTTTGAAGCCTTATAATGCTTCCATTCATTAGTCGGAATGGTTTTATCCTGGGTTGATTTTATTGTCTGTGATGGTATGAATAGCTATTTTGAAGAAAACAAGACATTATAATAGCCAGTGCTGATTTAATATCATCTTGTTTTGAAGTCCTACTATACTTTTGTTCTTCTGTTTCCATTGGTTCTATCATGTTGTATCTTCCAGGATTTTATTATGTGTGATAGTATAAACAATTTTTTTATGGACAATGGGATAATATAGTAACCATTGTTCACTTTCTGTTATTTGGTTCTGAATGCCCTGTAATACTTTCATTCTATTTAATGGTTTTATACTATTTTGTTATGTTTGATGCTATTGTGTATGAAGGTATGCTCACCTATTTCAAGCAAAGAGATATTATGGCAGCTACTGTTATATTGGGTTGTCTTGTGGTGAAATACCGTGTTGCTTAAATTGTTCTGTTCTGATCTGCTTTGTTATGTCCTCTTTTATCTTAATCTCTTTAAAATAAAAACAATTTAAAATAGAAGAAGAAGAAGAAAAAGAAGAAGAAGAAGAAGAAGAAGAAGAAGGAAGAAGAAGAAGAAGAAGAAGAAGAAGAAGAAGACGAGGAAGAAGAAGAAGAAGAAGAAGAAGAAGAAGAAGAAGAAGAAGAAGAAGAAGAAGAAGAAGAAGAAGAAGAAGAAGAAGAAGAAGAAGAAGAAGAAGAATGAATGGACCCGTGAAGAGGCAAGACAAAGCTGACAGAGGCAACGTGTGGGGGAAAACAAACAGGCAGAAGGGAAAAACAATTTCCTGGGAAGCTGAATGAAGTGGTGCATGTGAAGCATCATGGTCATGCCTTTCTTTGGTGCATCAGACCGGAGATGGCTTGTGCTGGGGCCAGAGGCAGAGTCCCCTGAGGCTGGCTGCTGCCAAGGTGCGTCTGCCTGCAGGGTACACTTGGTGGCCTGCCATAGCTCTTAGGAAAATGATTTAGCTTAGATTTTTCTGTATGGACACTGAATCGCAAAGCAATTCTCATTTGCATGGTGATGGGGAGTTTATTTTTCCAAGAAACTGTGTGTCAAGAGAAAGAGGTATTTCTTAATAATGATTAGTCAGATACATGAAGGAAAAGAAAAGAAAATAATTAAGGAAATTAAATGAGGAAAAAAATGACAGCAAAATAAATCTCCCAAAGAGGGACCCACCCTGTACACTTCCTAGGCACCTGCATAAAAGTCACTGGCCCTTTCAAATGGCAAGGAGCGTGCAGAGGGAGAACACAGGAGCAGCTGGCGGGACTGCAGTGAGAGGTGAGGCCCAGAGGCTCCTGCGGGGCCCCCACTGGGCCAACCCTGTGAGGGAGAACCTCTCAGATGCTGCGGGCAACTGCCCCTGTGCGTGGCCCATGGTGTCCCAGCCATGGGGTCTTCTTTCTATAGAGTGAGCAGGGATGTGTATGGGGAGAGAGCCTTCCGAAAAGGAAGGGAAGGGGAAGGGAGGGGAGGGAAGGGAAGGGGAGGGGAGGGGAGGGGAGGGAAGGGAAGGGAAGGGAGAAAAAGGAGGAAGGAAACTAATGTCTTTACTAGTTTTATTTTAAGAGCTATGCTGGAAAATTTATAGTACATCTTTCTTTCATCCTTTTCCATATTACATATTTCACTTTTCAGGACTGAAGATTGAACCTAGGGGATCCTTAGCCACTAAGCTACATTCCCAACCCTTTTTACCATTTTATTTTGAGACAGAGTCTTGCTAAGTTGCCTAGGCTAGCCTTCAACTGTGAGTCTCCTGCCTCAGCCTCCTAAGTAGCTGGGATCACAGGCATGCACATCATATGGGGCTTAAATATCCTTTTAGACGTCAGATGCTCCTGTGGTTCAGTGGGACTTGATTATAAATGGGCTCCCCTATTTCTGGTGCAAGGAGTATGGCTGGAATCTGCAGCTGAGAAGCAGCTGGGGCACGGGGACCACTGCTCCCTTCAGGTCCTGCTTTGGTAGGTCACCCCACTTATCTCAGTCCAGTTCCCTGGGGCGAGAAATGGGGAAAGAAGCAGGACCCTTATAGGGTAGTTTTGAGCATGAAGCAGGGTAATTAAGCCAAACGCTTCACACGGTGTCCAACATACTCAGGGAACAAGGTAAATAGCAGCTTGCTATTTTCATCTGAATTGGTCAAAACTTCTGGAATCACACTTCAAGGGGGGTAGAACCCCGGGACTCTCTAAAGTTGTCCATGCCAACGGGGTCTGCTTTTTTGTGGAAAGGAAAGAGTTAAATAAAGAGAAACCAGGCTGTTTAGCATGCCGCCTACTCCAAGGTGACCTCTCAGCATCTTTTCATCCATGCTCTCAGAAGGCTGTGAATTGTTAGCAAGGAGGCTTTGCTGTTTCCTGGCACCTCTAAGAGAAGGCAACTAGAAATCCCAGGAGCACGTGAGGAGCGGTGGCAGGAGAGTGGGCAGTTGTGGTCCACATTCCCACCAGCATCCGTAGCTATCCTCAGGGGCCAGGAGGGGCACCTTGTGGCTGCTTCTCTCCTCCACCACCCTGTGAAGGACCCGAAAATGAAAGGCTCCAGGTTGTCATGGAAAACTCAGGGCCAGTGTGATCACATGTGTGGCCCCAAGATGCACCTTTCTGGCTAAGCTCTATTTGTGAAGCTGATCCTCAGTAGTGGGAAGTCAGAGAAAGGGGACCAGCTGTGCTCTGATGTCTGATGTGCTTTTCTTAGTGTGCATCAGAGACATAATTGCAGCTGGGGATTTAGCTCAGTGGCATAGCGCCTGCCTGGCAGGTGTGAGGTTGTGAGTTCAAGTCCCAGGACCAAAAAACCTAAAACAAAAAATAAAAAAGATATGATTACAAGTGCTTAAAAGGAAGAGACAGAAAGAGGTGTGAAGGGTGAGAGAATCAGAAGAGTGAGCATTGCAGAATCTGGCCCTGCTTAAGAGCTGCAGACATGACCTTCATGTCCTCTGTCAGTGAGTGGCTAATAAGAAGCCACCAGCTTGGCCTCTGGTGGTAGGGGTGAGTGAGGGTGCCAGCCTTCCCTTACCTTTTCGTTGTGACTGAATAATTATTAGCAAGGTTTTATACCTCCTTCTCCCAACTTTTCCAGGAGGCAAAATTTGCATACTTTGAAACAAATGATATTAAGCAGATACACATTGGGGTTTTATAATAAAAGGCTGATGCTTACTTTGGGGGCACGAATAACCAAATGTGCTTTTATGTTTTTTTCAGATCTATTGCCTAATTCCTATGGCATATTACCAACCCTGCTTTCCTTCTTCCATTTATTAAAAACAATACTCTTCACCCCTGTTGACAAAGTGAGCTGTGTTGAGTCACAGTGGGGTGATATATATACAAACGTGCTCCCTGGGACTGAAGAGAGGACCGTGCTGTGCCTTCTGAGGGTCAGGGTGCGAGACAGCTTTTGCTCATCTGATTCAAAAAAGCCAGCAGAGGAGACATGTGCCCCTGACACTCCACAGATTGAGGTTGGTGTCTTGTTCTCTTGGTTGCTGCCTGGCCTGTCCCTGGCATCCCCCTGTTGTGGGGGTTCACCAGTGAATCTCCTGTTTTATTCTGTCCACTCTAGGCTGGGCAGTTGATTTCTGCCTTTCCTGCAGGCTATGAAGACACAGCGTGCTTCTCTCTGGCTCCTGGGTACCACACTTGTCCTGTGCTCTGTGTACACCCATGGCTTCAGGAGATGCCTAATTTCTGTGGACATGAATCAACTAGAAGAGAGTTTCCAAGAAATCAAAAGAGCCATCGTGAGTGTGGGCTAGATGACGCTGTGGAGGAAGGGGCATGCGCCAGCTGACAGCCTGGACTGGAATGCACGTTGCTTCTTGGTCCCTTTGTGTCTTTGGAGAGCATGAAGTGTTCATTGCTTACGTCTGTTCTGTCTCCCTTCACAGCAAACCAAGGACACCTTCCAAAACATCACCATCCTGTCCACAGTGGAGACCTTGCAGAGCATTAAGGTAGTGGTCTGTGTTTGCTATTTTCGAGTATTTTTTTTTTAACTTCTAGAAGAGTGAATGAACACTAAGACCATCATGAACTTTAGCAGATAGTTTTAGTTCTGTTGCTCCTTGCTGCCTCTCCTAAACAGTCTGCTCTGGACGGTAAGGAAATCTGAGAAGCCGGTCTCTGGGAATTTCTCTGATTTGTGTCTGCAGCCTGTGGATGTGTGCTGCGTGACCAAGAACCTCCTGGAGTTTTACATGCGCAGAGTTTTCAAGGACCATCAGGAGCTGAAGCCTCAAATCTTAAGAAGAATCAGCAGCATTGCTAACTCATTCCTCTACATGCAGAAAACCCTGAAGCAGTGTGTGAGTTTGTGCGTGTATGTGGTGATTCCCAGTGTCTGTCCTTTGCTCCAGATGTACTGGCCCCAGGGACCTTGTGATGGGGATAGCGGAGTCAAATAAAATTCCCTGCCCTCTTGCCTATGGGGAAAGCCACCAAGAAGCTTTTCCTGTAGTCACTCCTTTCCCCAGAGGTGACACTTCCTGCTAATACCTGAGTAATGGCTTCGTCACTAGCCCTGGGGGACCAGAGACTCCAGGCTTACCCTAAGCATGCCCTTAGTTCTTTCACTCCTGGCCCTTTGGACCTCCACACCAGGTAATCTCTGGGTAGTTCCTTGGTATAGCCTGCCTATCCCTAAGGGTCAGCCAGAAATTCATTGTGTTCTGTTAAAAATCTAACACCAGAAACAGAAGCAAAATTAACCAACTTAGACCAAGAGGGCGCCTGAGTTCTAGCCCCATCCCTGCTGGTGACTGCCAGTGTGACTTTGTCCACCTTTCTGGGTTGTTAGAGGGGTAATAATGCTCCCTGTCCTGCTTGTGATACCACAGAAAGGAAATGAATGGATACATTTAACCAATTAAATGGTCCAAGTGTTTGTACAGTGCCTGCCTCATGGGCTGCTGCACTCAGAGTGTGAAGTCATCAATCTGGGACCTGCTTTTTTGATGCTGGCCATTTTCTGGGCTGTAAATCCACAAGGTGCAAAAGCCAAGGTCAAAACGCAGGCTAACACCATAAACAGGCCTTATTTTCCCTCGGCTACCATTGCCCAAATTTACTTACGTAGTTTACTGTGGAGTAAAAGAAGGGTCACTTCTCATGCTGGGAGGTGGTGGCAAGAGTGGGCCAAGGTGGGAAGGCCTTCTGACATCTCTGTGCATCACAGCAGGAGCAGAGAGGGTGCCAGTGCAGTGAGGAAGCCACCAATGCAACCAGAATTGTGCATGACAACTACGATCAGGTGAAGCCTGGGAAGACCATGGGGAAGAGGGGAGATGGTGAGGGAGAAGTCTACAGACAGTGCCAGTCTTCCAGCCTTCTCTCCCTTTGCAGCTACCCTCTCCGTTGGCGAGTGTTCATTGCAGGCCTGCAGGTGAAGCAGGTTGTGCATGGATACTCCCTTGATGCCTCCTCCAACTCCTCCACTGCTTTCTGTAACTGCCACATATCAAGTCTGACTTGTGCTTACTTTGGGGAAACCACCTTGTGTGAGAGATGAGGTCGATAGAGAGAAAGCAAGATCTTCAGTGAGTCCCACGCTTCTGTGCACAAAACATGTTATGTGCAAGTTGTCCTTGTGGTTGGTACCTGCCACCAGTGTTCTGTGGGCTGATGAGGACATCATGGAGGTGTCCACATGTAGGCTCTGGTGTAGCAGTGTTCCCTTCTGTGTGCATCACTGAAAGATCTTCCTCAGGTGCTGCTTCTCCTGTAGCAGCTCCGTGCTAAGGCCTGAATTTTGGCCCCATTCCTAATGATGAAATTCCCTGAAGAGCAAAAGAGGCTGAGGTTTGTTCAGAGCCTTCCTCTTTGGAGAGAAGCTCCATTGCAGAAAATTATAGAAAAATCTAAGAGTCCATTAGTTCTTACTGTGAGCAAGGAATCATTGCCATCCTACTGCAGATGTGAACACACCAATCCTGCATAATATTGCTATGAGTACTATCTGCATTGGCAAAATTAGGAAACTGAGCAGGTTAGGTAACTCTAGTTCATGCTGCAGTTGAATGAGGGAGGTAGGAGCTAGTCCCGCACTGGCTGGCTGGCTGTAGTGCACGTGCCTATAGCTCTCATCACCTCTTTCTGACATGATTTAATTGCTTATATCTGAAATGGAATTTTTTTGGTTGCCTGTTAGGGAAATATTTTTTTATATACTGTATGCCATGTAAATATATTTGAGGAGTAAAAACAAAATCCCTAGGGGCGGTGACCTGCAAACCGGCCCAGTCCCTGCAGGTGCTGACTGCTCATATTGATTTCCTTGGTTTCAGCTGGGGATCCCTTCTGCTGCCATTAAGTCCCTGGGAGAACTCAATATCTTTATAGCGTGGATCGAAAAGAATCATCAGGCGACTTCTGTCTGACACCAGAAGCCCATCCAGGTGTGAACACCTCATGTTTCCTGCAGAGACAGCTGACTTTGAAGGCGACAGGGATGGGGAGGTCACCTGTGTTTACTGAAACAGAGCTCTTTTCAAAGAAACCTCCTTTTCTATGGAACTGGGGTACTGCAGGGAAAATCCTGAGCAAGCCTGAGAAGACCTCATCCCTCAGCTACAAGTGACCTGGCTGGTCTCTGGCTGTCTGAACATCCCAAAATAGCCAAATGGTCTGCTGTTGTATTTATGATGGAGGTCTTTGAAAGCCTGCAGAGCCATCATGGAAGGAGAAGGCTGGTTCTCTGTTAATTTATTGCAAAGTTTCTTGTCCCATGGCTGTGTTGTGACCTGCACTATCTCCCGTAGTACAGACCACACTGCCTGATATTTCTGAATAAACTCCACTTCACCTATGAGTGGAAATGTCCTCTGATTCAGGGAAAGTCAAAGGAATCGTAAGTAGACACTATTAGAAATAAAAGGGACCCTGAAGAACACAAATAGACGGGGAAGCTGACATCTAGGAGGGAAGAATATACTCAGAGCTCATGACAAGTTAACCCAGAAGAAGTTTCCAAATGACTTATGACTCTATTTCTCATGCTGTCACATAGTACCAGAAGCTGGTTAAATTTAGGAAGAGCAGAGGTTTATTTTGCTCACAGTGCTGGAGGCTCAAGGGCACAGAGGCAGCATTGGCTTGATTCCAGGAGGGCCTCACTGCAGAGGGTCTCACACTGGAGGAAATGTGGGTTGGGGAGACATTACACCCTGAAACAGGAAGCCGGAGAGTGAATTAGGGGTTATAATAACAGATCTGGCTCTTGAGAACTAATCAGGGTCTCCTGAGAGTCACCGTAATTCATTCAGAGAGTTGCTCCTTTAATGACTACATCCTGTCATTAGGCCTCACCTTTTAAAGGTCCTTCTACCTCTCATGTTGCCACACTGGGGACCAAGTTTCCAACACATGAACCCTCGGGGGACACATTCAAGCCATAAACTACAGCATTGCATCTCCCACTCTCTGCTCAGGGCTCAATCCTCCACAGAAACACCAAGAAAATGGGCCATGGGGCCCCTAACCACAGACCACACTGCTCCCCTTTTGGACATGTCTTTCTCTGTCTCTGTCTTTGCTCCCTGGCTCTCTGATTTCCTCTGCTACTTGTCTATCTGCTGCTTTTTTTCTTCCCATTCCCAACCTTTCTTGGCCCCTGCTTTCCAATGGTGTATGTGTTGGACTGAAGAGAATACATTTCTTTCTTCTTCTTTTTTTTTTAATCGGTATTGGGGATCGAACTCACGACTGCCTGCTTGCAAGGCAGATGCTTATGCTGCTGAGCTAAGTCCCCAACTCCAAGAGAACACATTTCTGATGAGGGATGGTTGTCATGGTGACAAACCTAACCAAATAAACTCTCCCTGGGCAGAGGAGATGAGACCCAGGCTACAGTACAAGGTCACACTGGGTACCGACTTCTAGACCGACATTGCAAGGGTGATTCAGAGCACAGATATCTGTCCTCAGCAGCTGATATCTACTGGATATCTGCCACGGTCAGATGCAGGGATCCATTCATACTTTATAGATGTTGTCCTGGGCTACTAGCTACGCTATAGCTGGCCAGCTCAAGCATCCCTTATTTCCACCTGAGAACGATTTCACAGTGCCTGCTCTAGTGGAGAGAACAAGACCTCTGAAGTCAAGCAAACCTGATTTTAGTCCTGTGTGTTTCTGAACAAAGTACTTGATGTCTCCAAGTCCCAGAATCTTTTTCTATAAAATGTTACTGTGAGTGAGATGAGGGGTGGGAGGAGCCTGTTGGAGTGGAAAGGTGGCCAGCCCAGGAGCCACATTCTCATGTGCAGGCTGCTCTTGCCCCAGCACAAGTCACTCAGTTTTTTTGGCCCATAGTTGTCTGTAATGTGGACACTGCTCTCATGTACTGTCTGTCCCATATGGTAAGTAGAGTCAGCATCATTATAATGGTCTAGAAATCCCTAGCGACCATACACATGTAAACTCCCCAACTTGGGTCCTCTCTTGGTGTCCCCTATGGACTTGACCCAACTGTCCTGGACTCCTTCATCCTCCTCATGCACCCAGGCAGGCCCATGGTCACCTTGCACCTTGCACCCCTGCAAACTGAGGTAGGAGTTAGAGAACACCCATAGGTTATGTTTTCATGGAAAGGAAAGGCTGTCAAGAGGGAGAAATGAAGGTCAGATGAACGTCCACACAAAGCAGAGTCTCCAGGCTTTTAAGACTGTCCTGAGCCAGGTCTTTCCTCCAAAGGCGTCCATTTCACCCTCAGCTTACCGCACACTCCTTGTTTTATTTATAACTGTTTCCCTCCTCGAGTGTAAGCTCCACAAGTGTGGGAATAGTTTGGTTTTCTCACTGCCTGGCATTTAGTAGGTGTTATATTCAACTTACTTGAATAAATGATTTGGATGAATTAAAACAGCAGTAATAGCAAATGTTTTTTTTTCTTCCGGTACCGGGGATCAAACTCATGACCGCCTGCTTGCAAGGCAGGTGCTTATGGCGCTGAGCTAAATCCCCAGCCCCAATAGCAAATGTTTATACACAGTGCTTTTTATATGCCAGGCAATGGTCTAAGAAACACATGTATTATGTTATAATGTGCATAGATGTTTTATTTAATTCTCACAACAACCCTATACAAGTTCTGAACATGAAACAAAATGTAAAAGTTACTGCCTTCAACACTAGTAGTATGGATGATTAAACTCTAAAGAGGAAACTGGATGCAGAGATGTTAAGTATCTTTTCTTAGGCCACACAGCTCAATAGTACCCAAACCAGTTTTCCAGTCCAAGAATGTGGTTCCAGGATGAACTGAGATGTCAAACACAAAGTATAGTTGCTTAAAAAAAAAAAGAGAAAGTAGAGGAGAAGTAGGAGGAGAAAGAGGAAGGGAGGGGGAAAGAGAAGGAAGAAAAAGAGGAGAAAGGAGAGGAACAGGAGGAGGAACAGCAGGAGGAAGAGAAAGAGGAGAAGAAGAAGGAGGAGGAGAAGGAAGGGACAGATCCACGAAGAAGAGCGTCCCTTTCTGCTCTCACAGTTTCCTCCACTCTGTGTCTTGCCAGCATACCTCACTGGCCCACCTGTCCCTTCCCTCCTTCAGGCTTGAAGAATGTACTTCTTTTTTTTTTTTTTTTTTTTTGGTCTGCAGCAGGTGGCACAGAGCTGATGCCTAAAAAAATACCTGCTAAGGAACCAAGCATAATATTAACTTCCAACCTTTACTTTCGGTGCCCCCACATCGGCCCCTGATAATTGCCTTGAGAAATCTGGGGCTCACTTTTTTTTTTTTATTTATTTAAGAGGAAAAAGAGAAAAACACAAAACAAACCAAAGCGGCGTAAGGGTACACGCAATACAGAACTACAAAACAAAACAAAACAAAACAAAACAAAACAAAAAACCATAACAGTAAGAAATTACCTGCTAGTAGATTACACACTATTTTCTTGAAAATAGTTCCTCAATTCACAGTATCAAAGAACACAAGGTGGACATTCAAACAGGGAGACTGCAAACAGCTGTGTTCAATGTTCCAAAAACATTGATAAAGTCAGCTATTTAACACCCCCAAACACACTTGCTGTTATATCCGTTAGAGCTCCTTTTCTTTTTTTTTTTTCCCCTCTCTTTTTTACAACAAAATTTACACATCTTGGATTTTATTACTCCTTAGTGCTTATTACTTTCTTTGGGGGGGGGGAAGAATACAGTCAAATATGGCAAAACAAAGCTGTCAGTCAATACCAAGGATAGACGTAGCACATGGTGTAGAACAGAGTACAAGTTTATCAACAATGGTTATCAACGTTGTCCCTTGTTTCCTTAAAAAGAATTGTCTATCTTATTAGATATTATAAAGTTGGACAAAACAGTAGAGAACAAGACCAATAAAACTTAGGCGTTGTAAACATTACAGGACTTCCAAAGAAGACAATAGTCAAACCAGAATGGGTATCTTAGTGAATCTTATTGTCTTCAAAGTAGTTGCCTATGTCTTCAAACTTGATACTATCATATAGAATGGAACAGAGTCTAATCAGTCAAAACAAGATCGTGGGAGTACTACAGGACTTCAAAACAAGTTAATAGGAAATCGAAAAGAGTTACTATTTATATATTCTAATTTTTTTGAATTTTTTTCTTTAATTAAGACAAACATAAGAAATGACTAAATAATTTTTTTTTGAAACAATAAGGGGGAGATTGAGATAAAACAGGACATAACAATATAACAATAGAGGTCACAGCATGACTGTTTCAATAACCTAGTACTTCACCACCTTATAACCTGACTTAATAGTAGTTACCATAGTGTCTTTTTCCTTGAAATATTTGGGTAAAACTTCATATACTCTAGCTTCAAATATTTTCATATCAAGAAGCCCAGAATAAAGCCTTTCTAATTAATGAGTGAAAACTTTATAAGGCTTCAAGGCCACCTAATGGGGAATCATGATTACCACATATTTTTATATATTTGAATCATTACTTACATTAGGGAAACTATTCGGTATTCACACATGCGAGATTGATTTATTTCACTTATGAGTATGGTCTCAAGCTGTGCCCATTTATTGATAAATATCTCAATGTGATCCTTCTTTATAGCTGAATAATACTCCATTGTATAGAAATACCACAACTTTTTTATCCATTCCTCAGTTGATGGGCACTTGGGTTGTTTCCAAGATCTGGCGATTACAAATTGTGCTGCTATAAACATAGGTGCACATATATCACTGTGGTATGATGCTTTCAGTTCTTCTGGGAATATGCCTAGAAGTGGAATAGCTGGAATAAATGGGATTTCCAGTCCCAACTTTTTGAGAAATCTCCAGACAGATCTCCACAAAGGCTGTACCAGTCTACACTCCCACCAGCAGTGCAGGAGAGTTCCTTTTTCCCCACAGCCTCTCCAGCATTTGTTGTCGGTTTTCTTGATCCTGGCCATTCTTTCAGGAGTGAGATGGTATCTCAGTGTGGTTTTAATTTGCATTTCTCTAATGACCAATGATGATGAGCATTTTTTCATGTATTTATTTGCCATTTGCATTTCTTCATCTGAGAATTGCATATTCATCTCAGATGCCCATTTTTGGATTGGATCTTTGAATTTCGGAGGTCTGAGTTTCTTTAATTCTTTATATGTTTTAGACAAGAGGCCCTTGTCTGAGAGAGAGTTCACTAAAATCTTTTCCCAGTTTGTGGGTTTTCTTTTCACTATGCTGGAGATTTCTTTTGACATGCAGAAACTTTTTAATAAGAAGTGGTCCCAGTTATTGATTCTGGGAAGTATTTCCCGTGCGGTTTGAGTCCTGTTCATAAATTCTTTACCTACTCCTATGTCTCC